AAAAATATGTTTTTTATCTTTTAAAAACACCAAAAACACCGATTTCGGACTATCCCTTCATATACTGACGTCACAGGTGATCTACTCAACTCTACTTCACCTGCCCAGTGTCCCGCCAAGTCTCAGACAACATGTTTTTATTGTTTAAAAAACGATTCCAGCCGAGCATGTCTCTGACCACACTATCTTTTCATATGCTTAGGACAAAGAAACAGATAAACTCTACTTCACCTGCCCTGTATCCTGCCAAGTTCAGATAGGCAACTTTATCATTCACATATAAATAAATAAAAAATTAAAAAAAAAATATCATTGACATATTGGTCTAGAACCTGTGCCACCCGCATGAGAGCCGATTACTCTACCAACTTAGCTATTTACTCGTGACGTCACAAGTGAATTTTTATACTATACTTTGAGTCTCCTTATGCAACTTTATTTACGCGCATAGATCTAGAACTAAGTCTAGTAGCAGTAACTTTCAAATTGAATTTTATCTTAAATTAGCCAAACAAAGATTTATATAAAATAAAGAAGGTCTGAAATTATCTAGATCTAGATAGAATTATCTAGATCTAGATTCTACGACTCGCTTGCTCAAGTCTTAAGTTTAGTTTATCTTGCTAGATCTAGAATCTAGATCTAGATCTAATCATTAGCTACGCTAATAGGCCCGGAGCCAGCATTTCAAAATTACCATATTCCAAACAAAGATTTATATAAAATAATAAAGGTCTAAAATAGTTTAGTATATAGAAAATCATTATTATCTAAATCTAGATAGAAAATTATCTATATTTTAGATCTACGACTGAGCTATATTTAGAATTTACGTTTATAATTTAGCAAAATTACCGGCATCGAAGCCGCGTATGAATCTTAAGCTACGCAAATAGGCCCGGATCCAGCATTTCAAAATTTGCATAGTCGAAACAAAGATTTATACAAAATAATAAAGGTCTAAAATATTTTAGTATATAGAAACGCATTATTATCTAAATCTAGATAGAATTATCTATATTCTAGATCTACGACTGGTTTGCTTAAGTCTCGTTTTTTTACTTTCTCGTATATACGAAGTAAAGAGAAAGTCTTGTAATCGTGCAAAAAAAAAAATCGAGATTTTTACAAATCTCGACGTTTTACACCTCACTGATACGGAAAAACATAATTTTGCAATCTTGTCCGTATGTCTGTGTGTCTGTCTGTCTGTCTGTCTGTGTAAACACGATAACTTGAGTACCGTTACAGCTAGGTTGATGAAATTTCATATATAAGTATTTTATCAAAATCGTAGATCCGTATCAACTTTTGAGCGATTTCCGATAACCGGAAGTGGTACTTTTCCTACTTTGAATTTTTCAAAAGCCTATAACTTGAGTACTATTTCAGATAGATAAATGAAATTTCACTTGTAAGTAAAAGATCTAATTCTCTACCTTCTGTTAAATTTTGAGTAATTTCCATTGACCGGAAGTAGTAATTTACGCTACTTCCGATTTCTCAAAAAACTAATGTAAATTTTAAAAGTACTAATAATATTGCGCACTATTATGCGCTTTTTTATTTGGCGTTCACTTGGTGTGCAATTAATTTGTCTACGAGATTTTATTCTATTTTTAAAACTTTAAGTATTTAAAATGGATTAAAAATCATGTCTATAGCCCGAGTTTCCATCCCCTGTTATTTTATATAAGAATATTCGAGAAAGTTTGGGGGAGATCACTCCCGGTTTATTTTGGATTGTATTTATAACTAAAAAATCTTTGATTTGACCTAGATTCTAGATTCTAGATCTAGATCTATAAATAACTTTCTTGGACAGATTGTAGATCTAGAGAAAGTTATCGTAAAACTAAATGAAAAAGACAGTTTAAAATTGATATAAGTGTTGGAACGTAATAAATACAGCAAACGGACGTATTGTTAAAGTTATGACCGACAGAAAATTAGATTTAGAACGCGTTAAACTTTTGAATGGGAACACAATTTTCTTCGATAGACGCCGCCATTTTATTGTACTAAAGAGTAAACAAAAAACTGTGACGTCACGGTCCCGCCGAGTGTAGTGGTCGTTCTAATCTTTTTAAAAAAATATGGTTACTCTGCCTATGAATAAATCAATAAATTAATTAACGTCTTTAAATAAATGTGTGATTAAAAGTCTGTCTTAAAACAAAAAATTTTCTCTACCCACATACTATTTTACAGCTCTCCACGATGAGTGCAACCATGTGCAATAGTCAATCAGCCAAACAAAAAAATAAATATTCAAACATGTAAACAAACTTGACTTTTAGTAGTATTAGATAGATAGTTTCGCTGTCGGTCTATCTGACAAGAACGCTCTAGAGAAAACATAAGCAAATAAAAAACATGCATAGTAATTCGAAAAACGAAGTATGACGTCGTCACATTTAGCATAGAGTAGAAAATAATCTCAAGACGGAGAGTGCACACAGTAATATGACGTCATTGATTCTCGAGTAAACATTGAATAAAAAGGCAATTTTGTCTGATCTAAATGGTTTGCGTGAAGAGTTTTTTGCATACAATTCTTCGGGTAGGGGCGAAGCACCACCCCCCGCGTAAGAACGTCTGAGCCCCCCCCCCCCTCCCCAACTCAAAAGAAATGTCTTCATCGATACTCTATAATAAAATTACCGCCTAATTGAAGTGTCTAATCTAAAAAGTGGTTTTCTTGCAATTTCTTTAATGCAATTCTTCGGGTAGTGGCTAAGCGCGACACCAATGTTTCTTTCAGACTTTTTCCTCCCCGGAGAGGGGTGGGGGTACTTGAAATTTTCGGGGGCGGGGGTAGAATTTTCGGGGAGGGGGCGGACACTGGAAAAAGTATATAATTATATTTCGTTGAATGGGACGGTAGACATGATTTTTTTGGGGGTTGGGGTGGGGGTGGGGGGTGGTGTGTGTGTGTGTGGGGGGGGGGGGGGTGGTTTTAGTTTAGAGAAAAGTGACAGCACTATCAACCTAGCGCCCGTTGTATCCTTCCTCAACGGGCCATTTTTCTCGTCTCGTAGAAAAATAATTGTGCACCAAGTGAACAGCAAACCATATGTGTATAATAGTGCGGAACATTAATACTTTATAAATTCATATGCGTTTTTCTTGAGGAATCGGAAATAACGTCAAGTATTACTTTCGGTCAACGGAAATTACTCAAAATTTATCAAGAAACATATAGTTAGACCTTTTACTTATATAATAAATTTCATCTATCTGTCAGAAACAGTTTGGTAAAACCGAAAGTGGAATAAGTTACAGTTATCGGAAATCGCTGAAAAGTTGATTCAGAACTACACATTTGATATAATACTTGTATATAAAATTTCATCAATATAGCTGCTACGGTACTCAAGTTATCATGTTCACAGTCACACACACACAGACACACAGACACATACACAGACACACACATACAGACTCACACACATGCAGACACTCGAACAAAATTGCAAAGCGATTGGGGTATTTCTATTTTCCGACTATACAGTAAAATATTTTTTCCTGAAGATAACTAGCCTCGATGAGGGTATCGATTGTAAATTATTTTAGTTAACACTAGCGTTGGGAGTTTAATTGAGACAGGTAATGCACCTAACAATAAATGAAATAACAAAATTGGAAAACCTGATAATCATGATATAATTGATTAAGTTTGCATTTTGTAATTTTAAAACATATCTCAGCTGTTTTGTAGCAGTTCATCCATTATTCTGATAGATCAATACAGTTGCTTTTGCTGGTTGTCAACACGTTTTTAGTTCACATGATTATTGCTTGGATTAGAACATTTCCCCAACAATTCAGGTTTGAGTATTATGTAAATTTGTGTGTATTTAAAATGTAATTAGAATAAAAGTGGTTCTTTTTCTATCTATTTCTATATTTAAGGTTTACATGATACACAACTACTTGGTTATCTGTTTATCTTTCCCTGCACCACAATGACAGAAGTCCTGCAACATTGACAGCTTTCACCTGACCCCAACTGGTATCACTGTACACGTCAATTGCAGGAAGCTTTCATTATTGGTACTATTATACTGAAGGTGGTCGGTGTGGTCGAGTCGGTAAAGCTCATGGTTGCTAAACCGAAAAGTCTCGAGTTCGAACCCTCGGGCAGATGAGGCTCGCTAGCTGGGGACAGCCAACTCCAAAAGCAAACAACTGCTGCCTTGTAGCTTGTTCTTGGTTGGACAAAGGCTATGGAAGTAAATCCAAAAAGAAAAGCAGGCTGAAATCAGAGTCAATGGCTTCAATGGCGCACAAACAGTTGACACGTAACGCTTAATTGTGATGGAAGCATGGTCGAGTCGGCAAAGCTCATGGTTGATAAATTCGAACAAAGTCTCGAGTTCAAACCCACTGGCAGATAAATCTCGTTCCCCTTCAACACTAATAATTAAGAACGAAGAAGAAGAAACAACGCAGTTTAATTAAGCATTTACTTTTTTTTTCTAAAAATGAAGCCTACGTAGGTCGCTAGTAAAACATCAACATTATGTAGGTCACTAGTAAAACATCAACACACCTTAGGTCACTAGTAAAACATCATCACCATTTAGGTCACTAGTAAAACTTCAACACACCATCCCCCGCCCCTCTCCTCATCACCTTGTCATAAACCTATTATCCCCCCCCCCCCACCGTTTGTATTACTCTACTCTTCACCTCTAGTCCTCAAACCCCTCCCACATCCCCCATCCGCCTGTTTACGTTCTCCTCTGTTTACACCCCCTTCCCCTCCGCCAAATACACCGAATATCTTCGTAAACCAGATAGAAGAATCTGGATCCTATTCTAAAGATAGAATAGCTTTCTTATATTTGACTTGTTGCATTGTGTTACAAAGATGTGGAAGAGGGGGGGGGGGGGGCGCATGCCATTCAAGTGGAGGGGTGGGGGCCAATGATAAAACTATTTGCTTGTGTTGGTATGTATGTGAAGCCGTGTGTGACCGTTGGCTTATTTCTCAAGTCGTTTGTCTGGTGTGTCGTTTGTCTGGTGTGTCGTTTTTTTCTACGGTGGCGGCTCGTAGCGCTGATTTATGGCAACAGTTTAGTCGGTGAGTTCCCCTTTTTTTATACAGCTACATCATTGTAACTCTACGGTCAAATAGTTTGTTAAGACACCAGCGTAGAACACCTCCCCATTACCTCAACATCACTACCAAGCACCCACTATAACATACCACTCACCACCACACTATTGCTATACCACACAACTACCACCCACCCACTATACCACACAACTACCACACCCACTATACCACACAACTACGACACACCCACTATACCACACAACTACCACCCACCCACTATACCACACAACTACCACACACCCACTATACCACACAACTACGACACACCCACTATACCACACAACTACCACCCACCCACTATACCACACAACTACCACACACCCACTATACCACACAACTACCACACACACACTATACCACACAACTACGACACACCCACTATACCACACAACTACCACCCACCCACTATACCACACAACTACCACACACCCACTATACCACACAACTACGACACACCCACTATACCACACAACTACCACCCACCCACTATACCACACAACTACCACACACCCACTATACCACACAACTACCACACACACACTATACCACACAACTACGACACACCCACTATACCACACCACTACTACACTACCACACCCACTAAATCACATCATTGAAATTCATTGAATTAATGTCCTCATACATTTGAAATCTAAGACCAATGTTTTCCCACACATCAGCTAAAGACACCTCTTGTTTTCCCACACATCAGCTAAAGACACATCTTTGTTTTCCCACACATCAGCTAAAGACACCTCTTTGTTTTCCCACACATCAGCTAAAGACACCTCTTGTTTTCCCACACATCAGTTAAAGACACCTCTTGTTTTCCCACACATCAGCTAAAGACACCTCTTTGTTTTCCCACACATCAGCTAAAGACACCTCTTATTTTCCCACACATCAGTTAAAGACACCTCTTGTTTTCCCACACATCAGTTAAAGACACCTCTTGTTTTCCCACACATCAGTTAAAGACACCTCTTGTTTTCCCACACATCAGTTAAAGACACCTCTTTGTTTTCCCACACATCAGCTAAAGACACCTCTTGTTTTCCCACACATCAGTTAAAGACACCTCTTGTTTTCCCACACATCAGTTAAAGACACCTCGTACCTGAAGACACCACTGTGGTGGCTCAACAGAGAAATATTTTCGAGGCCTCCAGCAATGTCTTGGTTAGAGATAACTTGTGACCCATAGTGACCTATAAACTAATGACCTAAAGTGACCTATAGTGACCTATAAGCTAATGACCTATAGTGACCGATAGTGACCTACAGTGACCTATAAAATAATGACCCATAGTTACCTACATTGACCTATAGTGACCTATAAACTAGTGACCTATAGTGACCTATAAACTAGTGACCTATAGTGACCTATAAACTAGTGACGTCATGGAGAACGAGATGCTGACCAGGCACATGACCTTGACCTCTAGGAATATGGGGGACTGGCTTCAGATCCAGAAGAACACATTCACAAACTGGGTCAACGAAACTCTGAGAGACACAGGTGTTGAAGTTCAGGAGTTAAGGACTGACCTCTCTGATGGTGTCAGGCTTGTGGCACTCATTGAGTCTTTGACTGGACACAGGTCAGTGTTTGATGCTATTTTTAGTTGAAGGTTTAATTATACCGTTAGAACTATAACCAAGATGTCGTGCTTTTTTTGTGGCCTAGTTGCTAACTCCTATCTGAGTTTGGACCCCCTGACCATTGAGGTGCATTAGCTTGAGACAGCGTACCATCTTGGGAAAAAAAAACATCCCTAACGAAATAGTTTCTGCCTTACAATGAGTTCTTAGATGGACAAAGGCTATGGAAGCAAATCCAGAGCAAACCCAAGCTGAAGAGCCAGTCAACAGGCCGTTTGGCGCACTGCTTGTTGACACGTAATACTTCATTGTTGTGTAGAGAATGCTCCTTGAAAATTGCAAATACGAATATAGAAGAAAAACATGCTCTGAACGTGACCTAGTTTTTATACTTTTTCTAAGGATAAGCGGGACCGTGTCCAAGCCAAGCAATGAATTCCAGAAACTCCAGAACATCACCATATCATTGGAGGCAGTGAAAACAGATGGCGTCAAGATTGTCAATATAGGTACACCATTGAATCGTTTTATGTCAATATAGGTACGCCATTGAATCGTTTTATGTCAATATAGGTACAATAATTGAATCATGTTACGTCAATTTAGGTACAACCTTGTGTTGAACTTAGAACATGTCGAGCAAGAGTTCACACAATACATGATCACATAGTATTGGGCAGGTGTGATCATAACAAAGTACCTGCCGGTATAGAAACGTAAACGTTATGTTTATTGATGATGCGTTAAAAAAATAGTTATACGTTACGAACTTGGAGACCCATTCACGTATTTGAAAAATATTTCGCGTGTTTTAAACATTAATGTTGTATATCTACCGTTATTTTTTTTTTGTTTTGTTTTATGCATTATCATTTATTATACCTTTCCGGTTAAAGGAGTAAGTTTGTTTTAATTTTTACTGTTTCAAATCAAATGCTATTACAAAGATTAAGTTAAATACATCTTTTGATGCTTTGTTAAGTTTAACAAATTCATTTTATTCACAATTATTATGTGTGAAAATGTAAACAAAACCATATTGACAGTCAATAAAAAAAGTTCAAATCAACTAAAATTATTATTTTGCTGTGAGGTATTATGTCTGAGATATTTTGTCTGAGATAATTTGGCAATAATATCATTTGTCCTGATATATTATGTCCTGAGATCATTTGTCCGTGAGATTATTTTTCCTTGAGATCATTTGCACTGAGATAATTTTTCCTGAGATCATTTGTCCTTGAGATATTTTGTCTGAGATATTTTGTCTGTGATCATTTGTCCTGAGATCATTTGTCCGTGAGATATTTTGTCTGTGATCATTTGTCATGGAACCCTACGCTGTTATCAAACAACGGGAGGGCCAATCATCTAAGGTCGAAGCACCTTCAGTCAACAGCATCGATGGATGTATGATCGGAAAATCCTAGCAATTTACGTTTCGGTGCATTAAAAAAAAACAGTTGCATTTGTTTTTGTTTTATTCCGTTTGTTTGCCAGACAGCAGTGACGTATTAGAGGGAAACCAAAAACTTGTGCTAGCGCTCATCTGGCAACTCATCTTGAAATACCAGATTGGCTTGTCGGCCAAACAAAATAAAACCTGGCTATTGAAGTGGTTGAAGGCCGTCATACCCGAAAGTGACGTCCAAAATTTGACCACAGACTGGAACTCTGGTTTAGCCCTGCAGTGAGTTTCACATTTTAAATTCACACTTTAGTTGGACACTTTAAATTCATACGTTCACATATTATTTCTTGACAGTTTGACACACAACTAAGAAGACCAAAATGTGGTCAATTATGTTTCGTATTTTGACACTCTACTGACCTCATTGTTAACAGCTCGCTGTTGGAGTTCTGCAAAGCCGGTCTGGCACCAGGGTGGAGGGAACTGGACCAAAACAACAAGTAGGTTCAGGTCATTTCATGTCCAGTCCATGTCCTGTCTATGTCCTGTCCATGTCCTGTCTATGTCCTGTCCATTTCCTATTTATATCATGTCCATGTTCGTAATACGTTTAAAAACTATAAGATTATTATTCTCTATACGTCAAGTAAAAGAAAAAGAAAAATATAGCTTCAGTCCATTTGGTCAGATCTATTGACGTGACAACTGTCCATTTGGTCCGTGTTGTGTGTTTGTGTGTAAGAGTATGCAGGCACATATATCATGCCTGCTTTTGAGTGTGAAGTGTATAGTGTTGTCATACTTGTGCATTCTTGAACAGGTTAGAGAACTGTAGTGCTGCCATGAGATTAGCGCAGCAGAACTTCAATATTCCCGTCATATTGCGAGCTGAGGACTTAGCTAGCCCCGACTTGGACGAGAAGTCGACCTTGACCTACCTGTCCTACTTCACCAGGGTGGGGGGCCCGGGGTATGATGCAACATTGCAAAGGATAGCTGCTCGAACTCAGCCAAAGGTCGTTACAAACTTTACGGTAAGTCTAGACTTCGCTAACCTTAACATGGTACTAAAGAGAAATAAATATCACAGAACCTTACGTGGCTATCTGACAGATTTTTAGGTTAAAAGAAGAATTTTTTTAAATCGAAATTTTAATGATGTCCGGTCATAGAACCCCTGGACATAAACCCCCCGCGACATGAACCACCTGGACGAAAATTCCTCGCAATTTAAACCCCCTGGACAACCCCTTCCCCCTAATTGAGGTTTATATAAGGAAAAACCGAAGATGATGAGAACCAACATTAATAAATAAAAAAAAAACGTTAGAAAAAAAACAGTGTATTATTATAACTTAATAAAGAGAGATTGTGAGCGATGCCTCGCAAATACTCTATAATGGTGGGCTCATTAAAAATTTTAACAACAGTTGAAATTCGATCGCTGTTTTCTGTTTTGGTAAACAGTGACCTGAATTAATCTTTGTACAATAAACCTCTTGGAGCGATTGTTTCTTTATAGTAAAGTCAATGAATTTCCAAATATTTGGGTGGCAACATCGCATATTCGACTGAAAACTTCTGTGCCAGCCTTCGACTGAGTTGTTTGTTTTTGGCATATGGTCTTCTGCACGTGTGAGCATGTTCCACATATCAAATGGAAATAGGTTGTCTTCGACCTCGACGTTGTGGTCTGCCAATATAGTAGTCCTTGAAACAGTCTGCAATAGGCATTGCTTCTTGTGGGAAAATTTCCGATAATTTATTAAAGACATAACTAATGTGTTCATGGCCACAAAAGCCAACACAGGTAGCATTCTGAGCTTGAGAGAAAATTCCCTATCAAGTTGGGAACGTTGTTGAAGACCAGGGCCCTGTATTTTTCTGTATATATTTTGGCTAAGATGGAGAAAGCATCCTTTTACCTCACACTCTAAAAATATCCTTTCAACAATGTTTTATCACAAGTAAAGCATAAACACATGGAACAGTCCGTCCATTGACCAATGCATGGACTGTGTACGGCTGTGAAACAACGCATGAGCTGTTTTGAATGTACCATCTATAAACCAGTGCTGATTAACCTCCAATAACCCCAGGGTATCCTCAGTTCCAAACAAAAATATCCTACCTTTGACTCCGCACCAGAATCGAACAGAAGAAATTGTTGTCCATCTTGTGCCATTTTATACTGATCAGGAATAATTATATCAGCAACACTCATTGAATCAGCCAGGGGATATATCAACGTTTGACGCCTGATGTTATGACTTATGTGTAGAACTGAGGGCACCTTGAGTTTCGCATCTTCACTAATCGTAGTAATGGACTGAGTGATGATCTGCAGGAGGGGGGGGGGGTGGGGGTGCTTCCGTTTCTTCTGCCAGTTGCTTCATCTGCTGCACTACTTTACACACTTCTAGTTGAGATGGATCTGGTCAATGCGAATGTTCATTATATATATATATATATATATATATATATATATATATATATATATATATATATATATATAATTTCAATTGCGCTTTTAATTACAATTAGTTAAGCATTGTAATAATAAATCTTGGTTTTCCGAGTTTAATTTCTACATTTCGAGGTGCGACTTTAAAAGTAGGCCTACTCTTTTATGGTGTTGACAGCAAGAATGAGAGCAAGTATTTATTTAATTAACAGAGACAAAACATTTTTAATGGATAAGGAGTAGATACAAATGTTAAAACGAAAATGGTTTAACAACCAATAAAATAATCCTAGTGAAAATTGACATGTATACTAAGATGGGAAATAAAATGTTCACTGATAGTAATTTGGCAAGAAATTAAAATACACTTAGTTTTGCATCATGCAGCTATCTCAGAATTTATCTTGGAGCTGAAGATTGTAAATCTACACAAACTTTTGATAAATAAAAGAGTCAAAATCTATTCGAAAACGAAGAAGGAACTATATAGCACTTGCTATTAAAGCAGACAAAAAAAAACGACTTTGTGACAGGCCATTACAATTAAATTTTTTAAAGCAAGCTCCAACTGTCACAAAAGAAAAAGTACTAACTTAAAGCTGTCATTAATACATTCGCCACAACCTACAAATAGTATGCAATAACCTAATCGACTATGATTTGTTTAAGAAAACATGCAGTCTATTATTACTTTCTTGTATACAGAGTATAGAGGAAGTATTGTAATGGTGTACAAAAATTACATTAAATTTTGACAGTTTAACCATTTTACTTCTCAATATTTCATCATATATGGAGTATAGGGGACTTATTCTAATCGGGCTAAAATTCTAAATCCAGCTTTTTCAAAATTTCGGCGTTTTACGCGTAATCAAGTCAAGAACACTGGGTTTTGCTATTCTATCCGTGTGTGTATGTGTGTCTGTGAATAGGATCACTTGAGTACCGTTACAGCTAGGTTGATGAAATTTCATATATAAGTATTATATCACATTTGTAGATCCGTATAAACTTTTTCCAATAACCGGAAGTGGAACCTTTTCTACTTTTAATTTTACAAAAGCCTATTACTTGAGTACTATTTCAGAAAAAATAAACTAAATTTCACATATAAGTAAAAATATCTAATTTTCTGCTTTCTATCAAATTTGGAGTAATTTCCGTTTACCGTAAGTAGTAAATTATGCTATTTCCGATTTCCAAAAACGCACATGATTTTATAAAATACTAATATTCCGCACTATTATACACATTTTGGTTGCCGTTCACTTGGCGCGCAATTCTTTTTTCTTCGTGATTCTATTTTATTTTTAAAAATTAAAAAAGTAATTAAATTTAAAAAAAAAAACATCATGTTTATATCCGAAGTCACTATCCCCCCCCCCGTAGTCAAGGGCGGGGGGGATATATGTATATATGTATATATATATATATGTATATGTTTATATATATATATATATATATATATATATATATATATATATATATATATATATATATATATATATATATGTATATATATATATAATTATGTATATATATATACATATATATATATATGTATATATATATATATGCATATATATATATATATATATATATATATATATATATATATACTAGGCATACTGCCTACCTTCGCTTAGGTTTTCAAAAAAGTTGAGAAATTGAATGATTAATTAATAGGTGATTGGCTGTAATGTTAAATGCTTAGGGCCTAAATTTATACAGTGGGGTAGTTTTTTTGTACACATAGATTGATGGAATATTCGCAAACTTATTACTCGCAAGGTTATTAGAACTGAAAGGGCTTTCATAAAAATTATCAATAAAATATTATACTAAATTACTTTTGCAATAAATTTTACAATTTCAATAAATACAAAACTTAATTTATAACAAAATATCCATTTAAAACAATGCTATACTTTATGATTTTTGTTTTTTCTTAAAAAGAGTATACAAAATATTAAAAAAAATTATTACATTAAAAAGTTACCTCCCCTGCTCATAGACCAATTGACCAAATCACGTATAATGAGAGTTTCACTCGCGGTCACTTTTTAGCCCTCGTCGAGGGCTTTGATGCTGACCAACAGGTTTTCCATACGGCCCATTCATCTATAGAGGTGTATGCAAAAAATTAGCCAGTTATACAAAGAGTAAGTACCCTAAAATTTGCGTAGAAATTACCCTCTTTTCCCCATAAAATACAAAGATTATATAGGGAAATACAACTGGTCAGTTTTGACCCCTTTACGAAGTTTTCCCAGATATGCCGAGTTTTTTGTGACACCCCAAGGCGTTCTCCTACCACCTCACAAAATATCAAGGGGGGTCGTCGGAGGAAATTTTTTTTCGTAATAGAGCTCATATAAAGAGAATTTCACTCGCGGTCACTTTTTAGCCCTCGTCAAGGGCTTTGAGTAAAACCGACAGGTCTGCCCTACGGCCAAGCCATTTACCTATAAGCATGCCAAAACTTAGCCAGATGTGAAGAGGGTAAGTGCCCTAAAATCTGTTTTGAAATGACCCTCTGTTTTCCCCATAAAATACAAAGATTATATAGGGAAATACGACTGGTCAGTTTTGACCCATTTCCCGATTTTTCCCGGACATGGCGAGTTTTTTGTGACACTCCAATGCGTTCTCCTACCACCTCACAAAATATCAAGGGGGGTCGTCGGAGGAAATTTTTTTTCGTAATAGAGCTCATATAAAGAGAATTTCACTCGCGGTCACTTTTTAGCCCTCGTCGAGGGCTTTGAGTCAAACCGACAGTTTTCCCTAAAGGTCAAGCCATTGACCTAAGAGTACGCAAAAAATTAGCCAGATATACTGAGTTTAAGTACCCTAAAGTCTGCGTTGAAATGACACTCTGTTTTTCCCATAAAATACAAAGATTATATAGGGAAATACAACTGGTCAGTTTTGACCCCTTTACGAAGTTTTCCCAGATATGCCGAGTTTTTTGTGACACCCCAAGGCGTTCTCCTACCACCTCACAAAATATCAAGGGGGGTCGTCGGAGGAAATTATTTTTCGTAATAGAGCTCATATAAAGAGAATTTCACTCGCGGTCACTTTTATGCCCTCGTCAAGGGCTTTGAGTAAAACCGACAGGTCTGCCCTACGGCCAAGCCATTTACATATAAGCATGCCAAAACTTAGCCAGATGTGAAGAGGGTAAGTGCCCTAAAATCTGTTTTGAAATGACCCTCTGTTTTCCCCATAAAATACAAAGATTATATAGGGAAATACGACTGGTCAGTTTTGACCCATTTCCCGATTTTTCCCGGACATGGCGAGTTTTTTGTGACACCCCAATGCGTTCTCCTACCACCTCACAAAATATCAAGGGGGGTCGTCGGAGGAAATTTTTTTTCGTAATAGAGCTCATATAAAGAGAATTTCACTCGCGGTCACTTTTTAGCCCTCGTCGAGGGCTTTGAGTCAAACCGACAGTTTTCCCTAAAGGTCAAGCCATTGTCCTAAGAGTATGCAAAAAATTAGCCAGATATACTGAGTTTAAGTACCCTAAAGTCTGCGTTGAAATTTTTTTTCGTAATA